ATGCAAAACCACGAAGGACACAAGAGGAGCAAGCACAAAGTCGCATGTCCAAATTGCAACTCGCTCCTGCGGTACGTTGTAAGAAGTAATTACAAGAACAGTAATCGAAACAGCTTCAACCAGTGACGTGCAAAGGAAGGGTCAAGAGTAGTTCAAGGCCAAAGGGTCAAGGGAAAAGGAAAGGAAGGCAAAAGAAAGGGTCAAAGATGATAGTTTCCTGCCCAAATGCAACAAGAGCCTTCCGTTTCGCCCCAAGAGGCGCTAAGGCCCGAATTCGGGACCATGGTGCCAATAGGTTTCCCTTGTCTTGGCGATTTACATCAAGGACCACTGGGATTAAACAAATTACTTCCTGCCAGAAGGACTCTGACGAGGCGTTCCAACCCCCATTTCGGAAAGCGTGCCAGGTTGTGTTCGGGGCAAATGGAACCCCACAACGCTGGTCAGGGTACCCTTCTTTCCACATGGAACCCACCAAACGGCCCCAAAGAAAACAGCCTGCCAGGACCCCTCAGTCTTCCATGTTGGTGAGGGTAATTCGGTGTTGGTCTCAGCGGCCGTCAGCGCCGCCGCGTTGGCCTGGTACTCTAAGATCTTCTTGGCGCCCTCAATCTCCTGACGCCAGCGTCAGTCCGTTCCAAACCCCCGAGGCCATCCCAAGCCCCGCTTTGAGAAGAAAAAAACGAGACGCATTTGCGAAATGTACGGTTGCTACCTATGTTTGGCATGAGCATTCATTGCGGAATTGTCCCAAAACGCTTATTAAACATGCTCCGCGTTCATGGACATATTCATGTCTACGCGCAAGCTTGGCAAAGGAGGCAAATATGCATTGTGTTTCCATTCTCCAAAGTCTGTAACGCCTTTTGCTCATAAAATTGCTGGAAGAAATACCGGCCTTTTAGATAATGGCCAGTGCGACAAGAACCCAGCCAGTTCTATATACACGGTGCCAAATTGACGGGTTCCGTAGGCTTTGCTTCCCTCAGACGATTCCCTGCAAGCTCGGAGAGTTGGGGAAGAGCGCCTTTGTAGGGGAACCTGGTGGCTTCCCTTTTGCCGAGATGAGGGCAACAAAGTATTTGACATGGCCATGGCTGTCTCAAAATAGGGCAATGCCCGAAATGATTGGCTTTCCTTTAAAACCCTGATATGGCTATAAAGTCGGGAACCCCTCTAGTATGGTTGGTGGACATACATCCCCAATGTAAACTCATTTCCACCAATCCGCCCCTGGTTAAAATTCACATCCCAAAGTTTCTATATCTAAAGTTGAAACTTTCAATTTCGAGAGAGATCCTTGGAAAACCCAAGGGAAACCTTGGACCCCCCCCACTTTGCGCGACCAACCCGACTCCACCGCTCGTCTTCGCCCCGCGCGCCGAAGCGCCGAAGCGCGCGCCTCCTGGGCCACGCCCAGGTTCTGCGCCACCGGCAGCGCGCGGCGGAGCCGCGGGAGGTCGTGCTCCTCCATGGCCTCCGCCAGCTCGTACCTCGCGAACGGGCGCTCGACTCGACGCCGTGTCTGGGGAAAAAGGGAGAGAATGGGCTCGGTTTTGGAGGCTCAAGGTATCTTTGAAAGGTGTGGGTTTGAAGGAAACCACAAGGAAAGCCATTGTTTGTGTTTTTTAGGGGCCCCCATGTAAAAACACACCCAAATAGCCCAGTGGATTTCCATGGGAGAAAAAGAGCACTCCTTTTGTTGGTTGATTTTAAAGAGAAAGCCCTCCCAATAGGACAGCCACCCAAACCCAGTGACTTTTGGGTCTGGGCGCTCAACTGGGTTTGCCGTACGGGGTGGGGAACCGAAGAATGGGTTTAAGCAAATGGATTCCCAATCTGAAGTTGGGCCATTAGGACGACTCTCCAAATCGGATATGGAACGCGATTGTTTGGGGTTACTTCCTTGGGTTTCCTTTATGAACCCACTCAACCACCCCCCGTTTTCGGGAACCCATAGCAGTAAACTCTGATGGGGAAACAAAAATAAAATACGGACAGGCCCTCCCACAGGGCAGCACCGTTGCCTCTTTGAGGGGAATACCACTGCAGTAAAATGAAGGCCCAATCAAAGAGCAGCCAAGGCGCATCGGAGCGTTTTATGATTTGAGCAACATCCAAGTGGCACCCCACCCCGCGCGACCCAACCCGCCAACAGTTCAGGCCCCGCTTGACCTCATTTCCCTCCAAATAGGCTTATATACCCTTGTGGGGTATTTGGGAGGGGGGGGGGTTGATAGGGTCCCTGAGAACAAGAGTCTTGTCAGCTACTAGCTGCGTGAACAACTCGTTCCTTTCAGTTGTTTTCTTGCAGTTGCTACCAACCTTTGTGTCCTTATATTTAGGTATCCCTTAGGGTGATCCTCTTGCTGTTCCCTTTTGTGGTACAAGCGCGGCGTACCTCCTAGAGGAAACACCATGTTCTTTCAGGAGGAAATCCCGGATTGCCAAATGTTTCCTTGCAAAGATCCTCCGGGTTTGAAATTTGACTTGGGGCCCGACATGGCGGACATCAACATTCAGTGGAGATTGATGTCCCCCCACTTTTGAGGTAATTCCCACCAAACGAGTCAGAACCGTCTAAGAGAGACGCCTCCCCCGTTTGCTAAGCGGCCCCGTGGTTCTTCGCTTCCAAGGCGCTGTGCTTTGCTGCGCTCCGCGGACATGGGCTCAAGCTCCTGCGGCTCGGTTGGTGTGTCAGGGGCTTGAGTTTCTAGGTCCTCCAGTAGAGAGGATAGAATAAGGGTACCCGTTCTTTTCTCTCCTTTTTTTCTGTAGTCTATTTTAGTCGGGGAACCCTCCCCAAAAAAAGGATACAAGGGCACTACTGGGGGACCTAGGTTCGCAGGGTGGCGGCCTTAGGCACAGGGCAACCCGTGTGCGCCACTGGCAACTGGAGAGTGCGGCCATACCGCTTAAACAATCTTGGGCTTGATTCAACATGGGGAACCCCGAAAGATGGTCGTTGTCCTTTGGTTTCCCTTTGAAACCTTAAGGTGAAAAGTGTACCCTGCACGAATTACACAATTTGCTACCCACCCTCCCTTGAGAGCAATTCGCGGTTGATCAATTCATGAGCCTCAGCCCCTCCTTGGCTGCGAGCGCCCGAGACTTCCGCTCCTCCTTCCTCTTCATCTCCTGACGCTCGGCTCCGGCCCTCCGGCCCTCCGGCCCTCGGCTCGCACAGACCTTCAGACCCCCGCCTTGGGTGCCTCCAGTGTCGGGGACGGGGGCGCCAGTGACGCAGGCGACCCACTCGCCGTCGACTCACCTGGCCGGCTCCTGATTACCCATACTCTAAGAAAAACACCCGACTTGCCGAAAGTAGACTTGCAAAAAGTGAGCTTTGTGTTTGTGAAAATGGACAACAGCAAATGAACGGGCAAACAGGTCAGCAACGAAAGAGCTTCATTGCATAAGTTCATGCGTCGCACGGCACAAGGCCCATTCTGCAGATGTCACATCGCGACCTGACCTGAAAAACGGGACGCAAGCCCAAAAGACCTTGACATTCAGCAAACACTTTCAGCATTCAGATCCCTGACCCAAGTGGATCCAATTTCAGTTTCAACTGATTTGCTTTGGACGAGTGAGTGTCCGTTCTGATTTAAGGGGCCAAGAAACCGGCCACGGCAAATAGGCCGCTGCCCTGCCTGAGCTTTGCAAGATGCAAAGACTGCCTTTCGGTTGACGCTGACTGGGAAACTCAAAGGAACAAAGCGTTGTGTTTTTCGGGGTTCCTGCTGTGTCCCCTTAAGGCAGCCAGCCTGTAGAAGTCCGCATTGTGGCTGCAGATTGATCCGCGAAAACACAGTTTGCGTCCCCCCACCCCGAGCAACGAGCTTCAAGGCTTGGCCCAGTTGACTTCCAGCGATTTGCCGGGGAATAGGGGTCATTGTATGAAACCGGACATGAAAGCCAGAAAACAGACCGGTGTTGGGCTTTTGGGGTGTGTGCCCTGGATGGCCCCTGCACAACCTGTCTAACTCGCTGCAAGATACTGATTTCTGTTGGTCTAAGACCTCGTTGTTGGGCAGCTGAGTTTGAGGAACAAAAGGAACCACGAGCACAACTGGAGGTCCAGGTGGTATGTTTTCCGATATGGGTGTGTTGCTTGTTTTGGGCAGCACCTTTGACTTGGCTTTGAAGGGAAACAAACAGGACATTAACCATTTGCCGAGAGTTTAAATTGTGAGATAAACCCACATCAATGATTCCGAGATAAACCCACACTCACTTTTACTCCATCCCAAAAAGTGATGTTTAAAGCTAACAGGGACATATATGAAACCCTGTTCAAAACCAACACAAATCTTGCCCATCCGCCTGCGCTGAGCGCTGATAGGTCGCCTAACAGTCAGCCGCCGCTTTGCTCGCGAGTCGAACATCGCGAGAGCTGCTCCCGTCTGTTGGGACCGAAAAGAGATTCCAAGGATACATGCATGGGTCTCTTTTTTGAGGGCACCCTTTTTGTGGCTTTAAAAGGACACCTACATCCTCTAAATCAGTTGGTATTTGGGTGATTGTTTAGCTGGCCCAAATGTATCCTTCAGGGACACTGAAAAAATGGCCCCTTTTTCCAGGACTCCGCGGTATGGAGTTGTTCTTTTTTCCCAGACGAAAAAAGGGTGAAGCTTCCACTCACTTCCTGAGTGGATGGGCCAAGAACACCGAAAAGTGCAACTCGGGAAGAGAGTCGTGCTGAGTCTGAAGCAGCTTAGTCTCGAGTTGTCTTCGGAGAGAGCCAAAAGAACCTGGAACTAAAGAGCCTCAACCAATACTACACAACGCTTCTTGGAACTTGTGCAGGTCGTCCAAATCTTTTCAGGGCCCTTTGCTAATCACCCACATTACATCATTTTGAGCTTTTGAAAACACGAGAGACCTGCATTGCACGGAGCTTGGCAGCCTAGAAAAACCGAACCGGACGCTTTTGAACAGCTTTCAAATCCCAGTTCACGTACCCTTCTTGGGACCCCTTTCAGTGACACTCTTTCAAAATGTCAGGACAGGGTCTGATCATGGTTTTGGGTATTTGAGTCAAAACAGGAGAAGTTCAAAAATGGGCAGTTTCGCTTTTGCTTCGTTTGAAGCCAACGCAACAAAGTACCTACACACGCCTTGACAATCCCGGCCAGCCCAACATCCCTTCGCGCACCTAGCTTCATCACTGCCGTGGGCCGGACGAAGATCCCGTACTCTGGCTCGCACCTGGGCAAAATCGATATGTGTCTGCTTTTGTGGGAATTGACCCACATGCTTAAAACACACCTTTCAACCCTTATGATCACCTTGTCATCTTATATAGTGGGAGTCCCTTCTTATCAGAGAAAGTGGCCAAACCAAAACACCTAGCTTCCACAACTATGTGGAAGAGGATAGCGGGCTAGCCAGCAGGGGTTCGTGAGAGCTACGCAAAAAGATGGGCGCAGGGCGGTTTCTGGCTGGCTGGGATCGGGCAAGGAGGATACCCCAAAGGACTCTTGCAAAGGATGGCGGCAATCTGCAGGGGCTGGACTCTATCGATTCCGTGGGCCAGTATGGGCCCTGAAATGCTCTTCTATACCATGTACAGCAACCCAATGGCCCACGCAATCCACTTTGAACGGGCGGATTCTTCCGTGTGGGGTCCTTGCAGGATGGCACCGGGCCAGCTTTGATTTGGGCCCTCCGGGGTAAACTTTCCAAGTGGAAAAGTTCCCATCTCATCGGCAAAGAACTCTTCTGAGGCCCCAGCAGTGGTTTCCTGAGTTGCCCTTGGCAGAAACTGTGAACTCCTTCTTTTGGGTGGTTGACCAGTGGTTTCGGACCCCACCAAACAAACGGGGAGCAAAACATCCGTTTTGTTGGTCTGGTTTCCCTTCAAACCCATTATTTTAAACATTAAGCGGGTTCTTTCTCCCAAAAAAAGAGATGCGACACACGGCGACCGCCTGTGCAACACTCGCCTCACCGGTCGCTCGAGGCTTCGAGGCGCGGGCTCGAAGTAGACCTCGCCTTTGACAGAGCCGTTGTTCTTCCCCGCCTTCTTCTCGAGCCTCGAGAGAGCGAGCGGCGAACCCGCGAGTTCCAGAGCGCCACTCTCCCAGCCCCCGGCCCGGGGGCCCCTTTTTGGGGTGTTACACCCTGTTTGGGCGCGGCTTAAAGGGGACAAAGGACAACAACCACTTCTTGGGTCCCCGGATTTTGAGACGTTCCTTTTTCCGATAGGTCACCAAGGGCTTGACACATAAAAACCAAAAGGAACATGGTGAAGGGTTACCTACTATAGTGCTCCCCCAAAACAACAAGGTTAGTTGTTTGAGAAATATAGGAACTAGATAGTACTAGTGTGTGACTCAAACTTGGGGAACCTCTAACAATGGTGGTTTGACGCTTAAGGAAGCAACACACACACACACACACAAGAGAAACCACGATTGAGGGTGCCTCCTCCCAAACATTCCCGGATTAAAAATACAAACGGAGTCTCAAAGGCAAGCGGAGGTTCAAAGTCCGCCTGCCTATGAGAAACAAACAACAGATCTGTTCCACTCATGTAGACCCCCCCAAAATTTACAAAAACATGTCTGTTATCTGGCTAGTGTTGGGATTTTGGTAAAGTGGCCATTGCTCTCTGTTTATCTTTAAAAGCCAAAGTCGCCAAGCTGTTTGCCAAGGGAACTCGAAGGGTGCTTGTTCTCAGGAACCATAATAACCATGACCACTATGAATTCCCCAGGCACCATGTCTGTTGTTCCAGGAACCCGGCCATTTTCATAATTTCAAGGCTAGGCCGTATGTTTGCATTATCGACCTAACAATTGCCCTCGCAACGATGGTTTCTTTTGGTCTGCTGGACACTGTCATGCTTCAGAGGCGCAAGTTGTACTCACTTCCTGGGTGAGCAGAAGTGTCCACACACCTTGTGTGCCACTCAACGGTCCAAGCCCAAGAAGTTTAAAATCCAGTCTCTCGGGAGGTGAGCCATGGAAACTTCATGACGTTTAATGGTCCCCAACAGCAATAGTCACTATTGATAAGCGACTCATTGTCACCTATAGGGCTGCAATGACTCATCTTGGCGTGGCGCAGAAGCAGAATGGGACAAATGGCCAAGTTGGATGTCGTATCTTCCAAGGAGTAGGCTCTTCGCTCCGAGCGCCGGGGGCCCGGGCTCAATACCCAGCCACTCGCCGGCGGCAAACTTTGTGGCGCCCGCGTACCGCACCACCCCCTGAAGACTGAAGGCTTGCCGCCGGTTCGCCGCCACCCTCTCTTAAAAGGGATACTCGACCCGGTGGCCCAAGGAAGATGAGTGGTAAAACCCAACAGAGGAATGCCCAAACACAAACACAAAAACACATACACAGACACGCGAGGGTTTGGAGAGTACAGGCCGTCCCCCATGTAAGGTTGGGGTTGGGAAAGCGCACGCGCCTCTGGACAAAATGGCAGCTCTCGGCAACGCGCATTCAAGTGCTGGTGGTGGCTTAGGTTGGCCAGAAAAAGCAAAGGAGTTGCTGTTTGAGAAACGGTTGCAAATTTCCAAACACACAGCCAGTTGAACCATCATCAGCCCAACTCAAGCGGAAAGCTGCCAGGCATGTTGGGCAAAACAGTAAGGCTCGTCTTCAACAACACCGGCATTGGACTCCTTGGACCCTGAAAGAGAGCAGAATCCACAAGAATGGAACCTTCGTCATTGCTGCGTTCAATTTGCCCGCAAGTGAGTTCGTTGTTTCTTTTTCTGGCACGCGCGGAAGCCGACGACCAAGCGCCTGCAACTGCTGATCCCCCACAACCTGGGCGCGCAATGGAGCGCGGTCAGCGCGAGCTGCTTCGCTGCTGAGGTGTCGCTTGGCATCGGCGTGTGCCCTTCTTTGATGAAACCAAGGGAAAGGGAATGGCGACCCCCTGGTTTGGTTGATCTAGGTCTGAAACAAACCCAATTTCGTGGCTTGCTCGCTTGTGTCCCTGCAGGTGTGAAAATCTGAAGCATGTGTAGTTCTCTTGTCGCATCACCATCAAGATCAAGAACATCAAGCAAAACCAAGTAGCTGCAACACAGGACAAAACATGCATCAGTTGCGTGTCTGAGATGGCCAGTGAGTCTACCAACCACGATCGAAAGGTTTAGAGTGGGGTTGTGGGGTGTTAAAACCAAACTGAGAGAACGGGTTGAAAATGATGTACCCCCTCGCAGAAAAATGGCATGGCATGTACTCCGGCGGTATTGTATTGCGGCCAGGGTAGTATTTAACACACACAGAGAGCATTATTTCCCTATGTGAATCATGTACATCTTGCAAAAAGAGTTCACCATGGGATGAGGCAATAATTGGCAGGATCATCAGTGTCCCCTTTTTTACACATTGGCACGACCCTAGCTTGACAAATGGCAGTTGATCAATATTCCTGTTTCTGGAAAACGCCATCTTCGCAAGAAAAAACGGTTCTTTCGCGAATCTTTCGCGACTCCATCGCCACGCCCTTTTGTTTGCAGCGTGCGCTCTGGAGCCATTGTGGCTGCTGCAGTTGTGCTTGCAAACGCAGTGGCCGCAGTTCACTTGCGCTGGCAGGCTTGCAGTAGCGTTAAAAGACTGCAGTCATTCGCCCTTGTCACTTGCGCTTGCCGGGGAAGTGCGGAACCTTGCAACAAGCTCCATGGACTTTCGCCGGTCTTTCGCGGATCTTTTGCGAAACTTGCTCCAAACTAGCCCAGCCAACGTTATTGGTTTGCACCATTCCCAACACAGGAATGAGAATCAATAATGCAAGTATGAGTGCTGCGTATCTCCCTGTCTACAAGGGAGCGGGGTCTGCAAATATGCAAGTGCACAGGATGCATCCAAGAACCCAACGCGGAATCTTTCGTGGAAAAAAAAGAAGCTTCTTTCGCGAACTTCATTGCTGATCTTTCGCGGAGGGATTGCCGATCATTCGCGGAGGGATTTAAACAAAGACGAATGGTCACCGAATACATAACTCCTTGCAAGGACCTTTTGATCGACCCCCAAATATCGTCCGAGGCTTGGCATAGGGCGCCCAACTCTGAATGAGTTCGAAAAACCAAGCTTTCGAGGGGTCCATCCATTTGGTGGGAGGGCAAACATCTTAAATTGTACCAAAAGACTCCAGAAGATCCCAAGGCAAATGCCAACAGCACAGAAAGGCAGAATTGTCCGTTTTCCCCTAGAAAGGTCCCCCCAATCTCCAGACAAATCCCCGCACAAACGAAGAAAAGCAGCGCAAAACTACTAAGATCCACCCACCAAAATGGATCCAAACCTGGGCGTCCGCGCCACCTGGTCCCCAACTGCCACCGGCAAAGCGCCTGGAGCTTGGGCCAGTGGCAGGATCGAGGCCCGGGTCGCCTCGGGTCGAATCGGAGCTGACGGATGGGCTCAGAGGTCCACGGGGAAAATGTTTGACAGAAGCTTTTGAAGGGAACACAAATTCTTGGGGTAGTCCATTTTCTGGAGGAATGTCAAAGGGGAAACCCTTGACCCCCAACAAACAAATGACTGCATGACAGCTGCACAAAGGGTGCCCTTGCTTACATGGTTGAACAAGCGTGTACCCTGCGGTAAAGTGCAAACAAAGGGCACCTTGTGTGGTGAGTATGGTCCATCTAGGCTGGTGTAGGATTCCAACCTCCTTCTTTGGGGTTTAGAAAAGTTCAGCGTTGCGGTTGCAAAACGGAGTCTAAGGAAGTTAGCCCTAGACACAACCCCATCCCGTTTGACGGGGGAAATCCCTTTTCCGAACGTCTTTCGTGGAGCCGAAAGCAAGCAGTTCAACAAAGGAAGTCCTATCTTTCTAGGAGTCGATTCCCCATTTTCGACTTTCAACCATCACTTGCAAACAGCCAGGTTTTCTGAAATAACAAAGCACATGGACATTTGTTACCCCCAAAAAGATCGTCCAACCGTCCATGATCTGCCTGCATCATCGTCGCTCGCTTCGCCTTGACCGCCATGGCGAACCGCAAGCTGGGCCAAAGGCGCTAAGAACAGCCGAAAAAACTGGGAAGAGTCGCTAGGGCGGGAAAGTTCCCCAGCTTGGCAGTAGACTCAGGATCGAATTTCCACTAAAAACTTCTGCAGATGCGAGCTGATCCCTTGCTTGAGTTCCCGCGTCGCTCGAGCCACGGCCTGCGGTGGACATTCAGCTCAAACCATGCGGTATTTGGATGTAAATGCAGAAATGCACCCCCGAAATGGCTCTGCTGTTGGCTTTCCCATGGGAAACCAACCCAAAACGGGTAGCCTTGCACAAAAGAGCCACGGCCGTCTGAGGGTAATTACGGGACCTGGGGTTCTCCATACTGCAACACTCTTTCCGAGCATTTGCAGATAATCTCCATTGGATTGTCGGACTGAGCAAGTCAAACTATTCGTTTGCCCCATCTCAACTCGGGTTGGTTGAAGACAAGGTAAATACATTCCAAAGAACACAACCGAATGGGGGTCATTCAGCGCCCGGCTCCGACCCGGGAGAAAAGCGTCGAGTGTCCATGTCTGGAGAAGACAACACCATCCTCATTCCAGAAGTGCGGGGCAGGTGTTCGATGGAGTGATCGGAGCACTCCAGGCCACAGGCCTCAAGGTGCGGTCTCACGGGAAAAGGAGCCCGATCCCACCGAACTGGATTCCAAGAAGCTGGTGTTTAACGTGGTTTCCGGTTGGTTTCCTTTCAAACAAGCTGAAACGCAGGGGAGCCTCAAAAGACGCAAGCCCATTTCCCACCCACCCCTTGCGGCCCTTTTTGCACGTTGGCCCATCTCCAGCGCGACTTGCGCACTTCGCTTGGTGGGCTAAACAGGCCGGCCGCCGATTTGGCGGCTTAGCAAACACACAGAAAGTCTCAATGCTGATTAACGCTTCAAACGCAAGGTCATCTTGAAGTGGCATCTCGCCCTTTTGGGCCAATACCGCGACCTCTGCGTCTCTGAGAGCTACCTCAAGCCCTAGCCCAAGCTCATGTCGTCCATTTGCGCCAAAACCATTCACCGCGTCCCACTGGACACCGCCTTCCGTCTCTTCTTGGCCGCCATTGCAGCGCGCGCGCGCGCGTGCACGTGCGCGAGCCCTGCAGTGAGGGCTCTCTCGGTAGAACATCTACTTGACGTCTGGCGTCACGGCTGCGTCTCAGGTTCTCACGCTGACCGCCTGAGCGGCGCGAACTGAATGTTGTGCTCTGAAGGCCTCTTCAGCTGGGAACCCGCATCGCATTGGGTCGCATTGGGACGAAATTCTGAGGATGGGATTGTGGCGAACTTCAAACCGAAATTGGTAATTTCCAAGCCTCTCATACTCCTCTTTGCCTCGTCAAAAAGCTGGGAATCGCGTGCCTGTTTCATGATTCCAATGAAACCACTACTTGTGACACTGTCGATCAAATCATGCAATGCCAAAACCACTACACACAAAACACCAAACCATCGTTGCCTTTGATCGGACAAATGACAAGACCTGGTTTGTTCCGACCAACACCTTGTGTGGAGCATAAAGTAAACATTTTGAGGATCCTCAACCTCAGAATAGGTGGTGTCCATGTTGAACGACCGTTTGGAGGGACATGTTGAGGATGTCACTTGAATACACTAAGCACTGCGCCCCCAATTCAAATACTCCCGGCACATGCAATCTCCCAGGCAAGCGCCTTCAAGCGCCTGAAGGTTGCGGCCGAAGCCGAAGAAGAAGTGCCTTCGTCACCTGCAGGAGTTGCGAACGAAAGGTCAACACATCCCCCCGACTGTCGACCCCGGATGTGTTCAACCTGGCAGCAAAGAAGCACGGTGCTTCTCCAAACTGTGATCTCAATCTCCTCTTAAATGAGACAAGCCTCTGTGTAAGCTTTCCCAAACCCTCGATGGGGTGGTTCCTAAAATAGAAAACTCCTCATTCTACAAATTCTGGTCATCTTCTCGTCCTCCTTTTTATATAGGTCATAGTGGAATCTCCTCCACGAAGGGGCAACGTGTTTTTACGGAGTTGCTCCAAAAAACAGGCTTCAACCACTCAGGAAAACAAGAGGAAAGCCTCCAGAAACCACAAAGAAAGCCAACAAAAGCCCTGCAAATCACTCAGATGCCCAGTGGCCTTGGAAAACAACGGACATCCTTTTTTGGTTGCTTGACTTTAAAGGAACCGGAACCCTTCCCCCCAACAAAGTGGAAACAAGGGAGCAATCCACTGGGCAACTGGGATTAGCTAAGGCGCCGCTCGCCTCACTTGGCGATCTCCAGCTCACAGCACCCGAAGATCCGCTGGACCCAGCTGCGCCTTTGAAATCGCGTCACTGGAGTCTCCCCAGCTGACCCCTTTAAACATGGGGTGAGGGGTTGACCCCTTTAAACATGCCCAGAAATACAAGGTGAACCTTGTGGCATGGCATTTCTACTAAAATTGGACCAACATGGGAAAACCATTGTGGTCAAAAGGTTGGCTTTCGGCAAGTGAGAAAACAAAGGAGTGGCCCGTGAGCGCCCTTTCTGTTTAAACATGGGGTCATGGCCCAAAAGAAAGGAGTGGCCCCATTTGAAAAGGGTCAGAAGGAGTCTGGTAGAAACTTGGTTCCAAAAAAGAAAACAAGAGGGTAATCCGAAATCCCCGGCTCTAGGCTGCAGGGGTTGTTTGGCATGTCAACTCTCAACATGGAATCCAAGGGCGGCTTGGCCCCTTTTGGGGGGGAGGGGGGCTGGCTGAGGTTTTCCTGCGCCCCAAGGGCAACAATCAAGGAGCATGCAAAATCAATCGTAGGTTTAGGGTTGAACGGTGACCAACTCAAAGTTTTGAATGTATGTTAGACGCTGGCGACTAAAAGGGAACTGTCCAAAGTTCGTCCCTTGAGATTTGGTCGTATTTGCAATGCAATTGTGAGAATCCCTGGCAAACTGGAGGGAAATGCCCAGAACCTTCCCAAGCCGCTGAGAGCTTTGTCAAAGCAAAGTTGGTGAGAGACAGGTGGGTACCTCAAACAGAGGAATCTAATATTGGGGAGTACCTGACCATTCTGCTAAGCACTCTTAAACAACTTGTCGAAGGTCAGTGATTGAATAGGGTGGAAACACAAAGGCATAGAGATGCAATACGTCCCAAATTTTGCTTGCAAGTCAACTCCCTGCCGCTGACAAGTATATGGGCTTGGCCCCATCAAACCAGGAAAATCTGATTCTCAAACGGGTGGATGGCTTTTCTGATGGTACCCTTCTTTGGGAGTGGTTCAAAAGAATATTAAGGGGACACCACAGATTTTGAGAGTTGTTCATTTTGAGACAAACTGAAAAGGGTACACTCCAAAGAAGCACTCACACATATTTTGCGTCAACAGGCAAGTCTTAGCCAAGTTCAAACGCAAGCAGTCTTGTAATTATCAAATGAAGCCTCTCTCTGGATTGGTCGTTTGGCGGCCTTGCTCCTGTTGAGACTATCTGGTTGCTGAAGCAGGGGGTCTGGAAAACAATAAATATCCATCCCCTTCTGTTGTCCTTTGGGTAAATCGCAGAAACATGGGCCATTTAGCCCGAGCAAATGGGAGTTCCAGCCTCAGAAACCATTGCTTCTAAGAAGTCGCTTCCTGAGTTCCCGACTTGATCCTTGGGAAGAAATCAAACCCAGATTTCACAATACCCGGTAAGGTCACAGCCTTCACTTTGTTCTATCTTTTTGTAGGTTTACGCATGTTTACGCCATTTGATTCCAAAATTCGGGGCCCAATGGCGTCATATCAAGGACCAGCGACCGTTTCAGCGCTGAGCGAGGCGCTGCCCCGACTCGCCCAGGTCCTCGTCGACCTGATGAGGTCAGTGGCCTGCCTGGTTTTTGACATGGGTGTGGCTCGTTGGTTTGAGGTACCCTTTTCAGGTCGGTTCAAGGGGAGAACTAAAGGAACACCACCTGTTTGAGGGTCCTATTTTGACACAAACTCACACACCAACCCACCACAACGCGCCTTCTGAGGAAAAGTGTCTTCCAGAAACAGTCAGGTTGCATGCTGGGAGGGCAACAGGCCACCGTGAGTGGATGTGAGATGGAGACAACGGGCCAACTTTTCGGACCTTGGCTTTTAGAGGCAGGACAGCCCCAACCCACCCTTCACCGCCCAGCAAAGAATCTTAGACTCTTCAAAAGGGCTTTTAGAAGGGTTCTGAGCCCTAATTGGTATCTCTCCTTGGAAAGTTTGCCGGAGCTCCCATTTCCAGAGGGAGTTGGCCAAGAACCGGTTAAAACTGTTTCCCCAAAAGCGACTGCTCAATCCCGAGATTTGGGCCTTGGTTCATGGCAGCTTGCAGGGCTGTTGGGGTAGTGCCGGGGTTTTGCATACCTCCAACTCGGCCTTGCTCATCACATTCGCAGTTCTTAAGTGACAAAACACATTTAAAACAGCAACAACTGATTCTCCAAGATACTTTGGCCACGCCAAGTTCCCCACAACTCCATTCCAAAACACTCGCGCGCGCGAACGCCTCGCGGAGCCGCGCCCGGCGTCTGCGCTGGGCTAACTCCTCGGCCTCCTCCCTGCGAAGCGGCGCTCGACGTCCGTTTGCCGCGTGGCTCGTTGTGTTGCTTTTCCTTTTAAAAGGGACCGTGGCCATCCGTGGCCTCGTTGCCTGGAGTTTTGAAGCCGAACATCGTTTTGTTTCTTTTTTGGTGGAAGCCTTGTTCTGACAGATTGCCGACACCTCAATGGTCGACATATGCCTCGGTGCCTGAATGGACAGAAACGTCTAACCTGCTTGTTCACCACGAAGATGAGCTTCCCTATTTTAAAGTCAGGAATTGGGGGAATGAGATGCTGTTCCGGTTTTGGACATGGGGACAAAATAGAGGTCATCACCCTGGGGAAGGTAGTGCATCCTTCCCAAACGGACTTTTGCCTAACCCACCCGCTATGAAACCTGACGCGGAGGTTCTGGAAAACCATGCTCCGCCAAAAATGGGTTCCATGTTGGTCGGGACTGGATGTTTCGACCCCTGGAAAGAGATCAGCTTGTCGACAAGGCCTGGTTACCAT